AAGAAAAACATCGAAAACTACACAAACACATGGAAATTAAACAATATACTTCCTGAATGACCAGTGGGTCAACGAAGAGATTAAGAAAGAAATTAAGAAATTTCTTGAAAAAAATGAAATTTAAAACACAACATACTCAAACCTATGGGATACAGTAAAAGCAATAATAAGAGAGAAGTTTACAGCAACGAGTGCCTACATCAAAAAAGTAGAAAAGCTTCAAAGAAACAACCTAACCAGGTATCTTAAAGAACTAGAAAAACAGGAGCAAACCAAAGTCAAAATTAGTAGAAGAAATAATAAAGATCAAAGCAGGAATAAATGAAATTGAACAAACAAATACAAAAGATCAACAAAATAAAAATTTGTTTTTTTAAAAAGATAAACAAAATTGACATACCTTTAGCCAGACTAAGAGAAAAAGAGAAAAGACCCAAATAAATAATATCAGAGATGAAAAAGAACACATTGTAACTGGTGCTGCAGAAATTCAAAGGATTGTTAGAGACTACTATGAGCAACTATTAATACGTACCAATAAATTGGAAAACCTAGCAGAAATGATGAATTGCTAGACACATATAGCCCACAAATACTGAACCAGAAAGAAATCCAAAACCTGAATAAACCAATAATAAGTAACAAGCTAGAAGAAGTAATAAAAGTTCTTTTTATCAAAGAAAAGCCCAGGATCTGATGGCTTCACTGCTGAATTCTATCAGACATTCAAAGAAGAACTATTGCCAATCCTACTTAACCTATTTCAAAAAATTGAGGAGAAAATACTCCCAAATTCACTGTATGAGGTCCGTATCACCTTGATACTAAAAGCAGACAGAGACACAACAAAAAAAAGAAAAGCATAAGCCAGTATCACTGATGAACACAGATGCAACAATTTTCAGCAAAATAATAGCAAACCAAATTTAACAACACATTAAAAAGATTATTCATTAGGACCAAGTGGGATTCATCCCCGGGATGCAAGTATTGTTCAATACACATAAATCAATATGATAACACCAAAACAACAGAATGAAGAACAAAAACCATATGACCATTTCAAGAGATGCTGAAAAAGCATTTGATAAAATTCTACATCCCTTAATGATAAAAAGTCTCAAAAACCAGGTATAGAAAGTATAACTGAATACAATAAAAGCCATAGCTAGTACCCTACTGAATGGGGAAAAACTGAAAGCCTTTCTTCTGAGATCTGGAACAAGACAAAGGATGCTCAACTTTCACCACGATACTGAAAGTTCTAGAAAGAGCAGTCAGACAAGAGAAAGAAATAAAGGGCATCCACATCGGAAAGGAAAAAGTCAAATTACCTTTGTTGGCAGATGATATGATTTTATATCTAGAGAAACCTAAAGATTCCACCGAAAACTATTAGAACTGATAAACAAATTTAGTGAAGTTGTAGGATACAAAAGTAATGTACTAAAAATCAGTAGCATTCTATATGCCAACAGCAAACAATCTGAAAAAGAAACCAAGAAAGGAATCCCATTCACAATAGCTACAAAAAACATAAAATGCCTAGGAATAAACTTAACCAAAGAAGTGAAAGATTTCTACAACGAAAACTACAAAACACTGATGAAAGAAATTGAAAAGAACACACAAAAATAAAAAGTTATTCCATGCTCATGGATTGGAAGAATCAATATTGTTAAAATGTCCATACTACCCGAAGCAATCTACAGATTCAATGCAGTCTCCATCAAAATACTAATGGCATTCTTCAGAGTAATACAAACAAAAATTCTAAAATATATATGGAACCACAAAATGCCCAAAGCCAACTTGAGCAAAAGAAGAAAACTGGAAGAATCACCTTACCTGTCTTCACAGTATAGTACAGATCTGTAGAAACCAAAATAGCATGGTACTGGCATAAAAAACAGACGTCTAAACCAATGGAACAGAATAGAGAATCTGTAAATAAATATACACCTCTATATTCAATTTATTTTCAACAAAGTTGCCAAGAATATACATTGGGGAAAGGACAGTCTTTTCAATAAATGGTGCTGGGAGAACTGAATAACCATATGCAAAAGAATGAAACTAAACCTTTATCTCTCACCACATACAAAACTTAAATCAGAATAGATTACTTAAATCTAAGACATGAAATGATGAAATACTAAAAGAAAACATTGGGGAAATGCTCCAGGATATTGGTCTGGGCAATGATTTCTTGAGTGATACCTCAAAAGCACAGGCAGCCAAAGCAAAATTGGGCAAATGGGATCACATCAAGCTAAAAAGCCTCTGCGCGGCAAATGGAACAATCAAAAAAGTAAAGAGGCAACTCACGTAATGGGAGAAAAATACTTGCAAACTACCACCTGACAAGGGATTAATAACTAGAATATATAAGGAGTTCCAACAACTCAATAGGAAAAAAGCAATTTGATTAAAAAGTAGGCAAAAGACCTGAAACATTATATGCACCCTATAATTACATGCAACCACTGTGTATCTATTACGATTGAAAATAAAAAATTTAAAAATGCAGTTTTTAATTGGCCGATGGGACATTTTCATTGACCAGAGAGAGACAGAGAAGGATTTCAGTGGAGTGATGGAGATGAAAATCCTTTTTTATCTGCATATTAGTAGTTTAGTAACTGAATACATGAGTAAACCCCATCTGATGAGCCAAATAAAATTTCTTGATCCTACATGATGGTCATAAAGTGCGTCCTTTTTACAGGAAAGATAATGTATTTGGCTTTCTGATTTTGGAATGGGTATTTCAGACCTTAAAATACCATGGAAATAAACTAATAACTATCGTACTAACACAATATAACACATATTAAGTATCTGGCACTATTTTAAGCACTTTCATTCACTTATTGACTCATTCATTCAATAAATACTTACTTCATTAACACCATGTGGCAGGCACTGTTGATTCGAGGCACTGGATTGACAAAGGAAACAGAAATCTCTGCCTTCTGGGAGTTTATTTTCTAGTGGAAGGATAGAAATTGATGGGGCTATGAAAAATAAGTTAAATATTACAGTATGTTAAAAGTGAAGGAGCTTTGAAGAGGTTAGCTGTAATTTTTAAAAGGGCTGTCAAGAAAGGCAGTGTGTTATGACATTTAATCCTTATAACAACGTTATTTTTTATATGAGAAAACTTATGCACAGAGAGATTAATTCCCTTGGTCCCAACTACACATCCTAGTAGGCCCAAGATGACATTGAACCCATTTAGTTTGCCTCTAGGATCTGTGTGCTTACCCATTAAGCAATACTCCCATTAGCATACTAACACAAATATACTGCTTCCAGTATTGATGAAATATGTCAAATCAAATACCTAAAAGCTGCAACATACCGTATGCGTTCCTTTGGGGAATTTTCTTGCAGTGGCTGGACTAGCTAACCCTACTTTAAACATAAATTTGTTGATACTTTGTCTGAAGGTTATGTTAGTGCTTTGTTGATGCCATAACAAATTACTACAAATTTAGCATCTTTGATTCATTATCTCACAGTTCTGTAGGTCAGAAGTCGCAGCTCAGCTAGCTTCTCTGCTTGAGGCTCACAAGGCTGAAATTAAGGTATCAATCTGTTTTACAGGCTCGTGGGAGGTTGTTGGCAGAATCTAGGAGTTCCCTGTGGCTACAGGCCAGAGTCCTTCATTTTTTGCAGGCTGTCAGCTGGGGACTACCTCGAACTCCTAGAGCTCCTCTTTGGTCCTTGCATGCAGCCTCCCCATCTCAGAACAAGAAAAGGCATGTGGAACATTTCTCTAGCTGCCCCATCTCTTCGGCAGGCTCTTCCGCCTTCCTCTTCACTTTTTTTTTTGAGACTGAGTTTCACTATGTTGCCCTCGGTAGAGGGCCGTGGCGTCACAGCTCACAGCAACCTCAAACTCTTGGGCT